GTATGGTAGAACTATAGTATATGCGTCAACTTTTAGGTTTATAGAAATCAAAATAAATAAAAAACACAATTATAAGATAGCTCTGACATGCTTATAGCATTATTGCTTTCTATGAATTTTAAAAGGGCCTAGAGTTAATCAAGTTATTCAGTTATAGAGGATTTTCATCCCACTGTTGGCTTTATGGCAAGTAAAGTTCGGCTTCGAGATTTCGCTTGGTTTATCACGGTGATTCTACTATACATGAAGAAAAGATATATTAATGTATATTATACAAAGGCAAAAGGAAACTAGACTTCGAATATTTCGATGATTATAAGGTTGTGCAGCAAATTTATAGATGGGCTAAGTAATTCCTGAACAAGCCGATATAAACAATAATTGGTAAAATAAAACTGCTTTAAATTTGCTACATGTGCAATTTGTATCGATTTTACCTGTATTCATGTGAATAGACATAAAACTACTTGACGGATCAAGATATGAAACTTTTAGAATGGGAATTTTACTTCCCTCATTACCCTTGTTCGTATTTGCTTCTGATATCTGTCTTTTCTGCTCTTCTTCAAGGGCAACTTTTTGGTTAATATCGTCAATAGAAATTGATATATCTTCCTCAGCAGGATTGAGAGGAAATGTTCCATCAAGACCTGCTCCCCAAACATCTCCTGTAAGCGCATTTTTCTTGTTGTTATTGTCCATATGGGTTAGTTCTGCTTGATGATTTATACTACATGTAAGTCCACTCAATCCTTCAAAGTCCCCCTTAGAAGACTTATCATATTTTTGACTGTTAGGACTCCCCAGGATAAGTTCCTCATTTGTGGGCATATTCGACTCAGCCAAAGCAATAGAACTTGAGGATGAAGAAGAGGGCGGCAAACTGTTGGCCTACAAGCAAATCATGAAATTAAGCGATCATATCAGCTAATTGGTTAAGATAATAAATAAATAATGGTCATCGAATCGGGATTAAAATTTAGTGAGTGGTAATCATCGATATATCTGGCCAATTAAAACTGCACAAAGAAATAATATGTCCTGGGTATGTTTAGACTTGCATTTCCTCATTGAAAGCTGTGCTGAAATACGGAATATAGTGCCGCCAGCAGCTACCACCAATTTATGAAAGAGCTTCATTCATCTTATTTCGTTTAAGGTAATTAAGAGCCAGTAGTGGCATTTTTTCACGATTATATGAGTAAGCCTCATTTTTCCAATGAACTTCACACAGGCTTGCTTCCTCAAGGTTAGTCTTATCAGTTGATTCGACCTAGCCTAGGTCTCATCATCACCCATCAGCAGGACTAGAACCTGCTCCGCCATACTGTCACGAGACTACACGCCGCAGTAGCCGGGTTTGAGTCCCGATGTGGGTGTTGATGAGATCTAGGCGGGGTCAAAACTTCAGTTCACCCTTGCTAAGTATAATTTTGAGGAAGCAAGGCCATGTGAAATTCATTGGAAGAATGAGGCCTATCCATAGTGATGTGGAAATATTCATCTATCAGTCCTTCATCATCTTGAAAGAAATAGAGTGAAAACAGTCCTTATTTCAGATTTAATGGTATTTTTGAAACTTACTTCTAAATGAAAAATAAGCTAACATATATTTATGCTTAAACTTGCTTATTCAGCAACATTTTTGTGTCATAAAGCTATATACCCCTTCCCAACATGTAAATATATTAATACTCCTATTTCTCTTGGGATAGTTAAGTGGCATAAACACTTCAAAAAGTTCCAATATAAATAATTTGTTCAAATATATGGTTATTAGCATGAATAGGTAAGTGAAATTTATCTTTATAGAAGTGGGTTGACCTCGTTGTCGCAACTTGGTATTGTTGTCAGGGGGACTTAGTAGAACGCACCTAATTCGAAGTCCTCTGCCATAGTAGTTATCATAATTCACACCGGTCTCAAACGTTTCACCGTCATCGTAGTCGGCATCATCAGTGAGTTTTGCCAGTCTTCGCACCAAGCTACGAACTCGTCAAAGAGGCAAGTGAAGTGAATCCCTCGACAAACGTTCTGCCGAAAACGGTTACGTTATCACTCCCCTTTCTGTCTTGGCCTATCTATCTACTCTTTA